GGACAAGTCTTTTGCAATTGGGAAGCTATCAAGATCACAATAGCAAATAAAAGTTTTCCAAAATTGTAATTTTCACTCAAAAGATTAAATTATCTTTGGAGCCCTGTCAATTGTTTTTCTTGAAATGACCGGTACACTATATTCATTTTGGAGAAAATGCCTGCCAAATACTCAAGTCTGAAATCTTAAGTTTGTCAGTTGTACTTTTAGGTAACAGTGGTGGTCCATGAGTCAAGTGACCACTTCAGCTGACAACTTAAATACGTGAGTGCTTTTCCTCAAGAAAGTCATCATATTTTGAACTGTATCAGAAATGCTTATGTGTCCTTCCAATTTTGTCACATAGGATATTGGAAAGATATGTATCCAAGATTTGATATTTAATAAAATTACTAACTTTTACTGCAATTTGGTGCCACTCAATGATTTGTGCCAGCTATTTTACCCATCATGGCTTTTAGAGTGTCTTTGAAAATGTCAATACTGTGAAAAAGGCAAATAACATCTTGGAATTGTTATGAATAAAGATTAAATCTGACTGGTGGGTGTCTCAGGGACTCCCAGGGTTCATGGACCACAGATTGAGAACCATTACTCTAAAGAACTCTTGGCACAGAAGCTTATGCCTATAGTCCCAGCATTTTGGGAGAATTGCTTGAGGCCTGGAGTTTGAGACCTTGAGCAAAAGCAGACACCGTTTCCCACCAAAATAGAAAAACTATCTGAGTGTGGTGGTGGGCACTCATCGTCTCAGCTACTCAGGAGGTTGAGGCAGGAGGATCACTTGAGCCCATAAGTTTGAGGTTGCAATGAACTATGATGACGCCACCACTCTCTAGCCCAGGTGACAGGTTGAGACCCTGTGTCAAAAAAGAATAAAATGTTGAAGGAGAAAAGGAATCTGTGGGGAATTATGACAATGAGCTCCATCTTTAAGAAGTTCAAAAGACATAAAAGTATATCTAGGTGTTGTGGTGGGCACCTGTAGTCCCAGCTACTCAGGAGGCTGAGGCAAGAGAATCACTTAAGCCCAAGAGTTTGAGGTTGCTGTGAGCTGTGACGCTATGGCACTCTACCAAGGGTGACATAGTGAGACTTTGTCTCAGAAAAAAAAGAAAGGCATAAAAGTATATAATGCATTGTTAAAGATGCAAATATGGATATTATGAATATATAATTATAGATATTATGAAAGTAAGAAAGGGTTTATCACATATTGGAGAAGAGTAAGCAAGGTTCCTTGTCAGAAAGCACATGTCAGGGTGTAGCTAGAGATAAGGGTAGTGAGTTAAAGCTGGCTACTTGGTGGGTGTCTTTGAAAACAATCTTCCAATTTGCTCTGATTTAAAAAGTAAAAGGGAGCAAACTTTTCAGGAAGTGGCTGATAGGATCTAATTATATCAAAGGGAATTACCATTGGTAAGCTAGCCCTGGCAAAAAGGGAGGCTGAGGGTAAGTTCCTTGTACCCAGTGGCACTTGGTGGTTTCCTCGCTTTGGGGGAGCCTCTTCTTTGCTCTGTTCCTTTATCAAAGGCAGGCAGGCAGGGTGTGGCTTATTAGTTTTTAGGAACAGATAGAAGGGAGCCTCTGGGGCAGAGAGAGTTCTGGCTCTGGTCTTTGGGCTTTAGAATAAAATATGAACTTTCCCCAGGCCCACATTTCTCTACCTTCCTGATGCTCCTGCCTGATGCCTCATCTGTCTGCACTGGGCAAGGGAGTGTTTCCAGCTCTGCCAGTGAAGGACAATGATCCCTGATGACAAAGGTGGTGAGTTCTCTTCCCTCTCCCCTCTCTTCACTTTGTTCAGTTATTCAACTTTCTTGGAATCCTCAGGATTGGTAGAGAAATAATTCTCTTTCTTCTTAGAAGAACATTTCAAAAGATAAAATGGGGCAACTCTTAGCTGTCACCTAAGGAACACAAAGACAGCAAGTGACAAGAGGCCTGTATGGGTTTTGTTGAAAGATTCCTATTTATTAGTATCATTATCATTAATATTATAGCTAACATTTATTTAGCACTTACTATTTGCCAGATACTGGGCTGTGTGCTTTTATACTGATCATTTGTAGATTTGTAGGGTCTACTCAAACCACTTGGGATTGTCAAGGGAACATCTGTTGCAATCTTTTCTCTGATTCAGAAATACTAAAAATGAGGCTTGGCCCCTGTAGCACAGTGTTTATGGCACTGGACACATGCACTAAGGGTGACAGGTTCGAACCCAGCCCAGGCCACCTAAACAAGGACAACTGCAAAAATAACAACAACAACAAAAATAGCCAGGTGTTGTGGCAGGCGCCCGTAGTCCCAGCTACTTGGGAAGCTGAGGCAAGAGAATTGCTTGAGCTCAAGATTCTGAGGTTGCTGTGAGCTGTGCTGCCACGGCCCTCTACCAAGGGCAACATAATGAGACTCTGTCTCAAAAAAAAAGAAAGAAAAAGAACAAGAAATATTAAAAATGAAACTATTTAAAAACTGAAATGTAAATAACTATGTGGGGGAAAACATTTCCAACATGGGTAGTAGAAAAAAAAATGGTTGCTATACAATTTTGCAAGCCATTAAGAGACAAATGTCCTAATAGAAAAATGAACCAAGTACATTGGCAAAAGGTGATTGGCAAAGTCCAAATAACAAATGAGTAATCAAATAAATACAAATTAAAATGGAAAATAATCAAATTTTTAAAATTTTATTTTTATTTATTTTTTAAAGACAAGAGTCTCACTTTGTTGCCCTGGGTAGAGTGTTGTGGCATCATAGTTTACAGTAACCTCAAACTCTTGGGCTCAAATAATCCTCTTTCCTCAGTCTCCTGAGCATCTGGGACATAGGCATCCACTACAATGCCCAGGTTTTTTTTTTTTAGAGATGAGGGGGAGGTCTCACTCTTGCTCAAGCTCGTCTTGAACTTATGAGCTCGCTCCATCCACCTGCCTCAGCCTCCCAGAGTGCTAGGATTACTGGTGTGAGCTACCGAGCCTGGTCATACTTCACATTTGCCTGTGAAGAAGGTTCCCTCCTGATAGATTAAGAATGAAAAGACTCAGCGCCTGTCGCTCAGTGGCTAGGGCACCAGCCACATACATGGGAGCTGGCAGGTTCAAACCCAGCCAGAGCCTGTCAAACAACAATGACAACTAAAACCAAAAAATAGCTGGGCAGGCTCTGCCTGTGGCTCAAGGAGTAGGGTGCTGGCCCCATATACTAGAGGTGGTGAGTTCAAACCCAGCCCCAGCCAAAAACTTCAAAAAAAAAACTCTGGGCATTGTGGTAGGCACCTGTAGTCTCCGCTACTTGGGAGGCTGAGGCAAGAGAATCACTAGAGCCCAAGAGTTTGAGGTT